GATAAACGATACTGAGGAGAGGCACGGGCCACCATGATGTAATACTGGTGCTCCAGAGGTCCTCGAGTGTCGACGTTGCACCTTCTTGCTCGGAGCATTGCATGAGCAGGGACCGACCACCCAGGCATTCCTGCAGGCCTACCACGACATCTCTTAGAACCCAGAAGCGCTCCAAGAACCAAAGCACTGCTCTTAGAACATAAGCCCGATGTGCCGAGACAAGACCGTCCCAGCCAGGAATGCTCCGAGAACATCCCGTGGAAGCCACCAGCGGTTCTTAGACCAGTGTCTGGTAGGCCTCCGGGCACGCCAGGACGCTTCGCTTCGCCACTGCTTGACCCTCGCGCCTCGCCTCCCGGCCAGGCTGTGCCCGAGGTGTTCGCACCCCTTCGTGCGAGGGAGCGGTGGGATCCCGGCCTTGCTGGCCGGCGCTCCTCGGGGGGGTGTGCGCGGTCGTGCTTCCTTACAGTCAAGTCGGGCCTGTCCCCCTACAGGAGGATCTTGGGCGAAAAACAGAAAAGAATCAAAACATACCCCCAAAGGATCAAACAATCTTGAGAAAAAACGAAAAATAGTCCCCGAACTATGTTTTGCCTATTTGTGAATTTTCCCCCTGTAGAGGGACAGGCCCGACTTAACCTTACAGTTGCGTTGCTTCCTGCATTCCCGACGCTGCTCGGTGTTGCTCGGTTTGTTTCCTGACTGTGCTCGAAGACGCCTTCCTCGGGTTGCTCAGTCGATTTTTGTTTTTGAAAAAGATATATTCTTCAGTTGCTTGGTCATCGCGGGTTGTTTGATCTTGATTCCTTACTTGCAATCCTCGGGTTGCTTGGTCGTGTGTCCTAATAGTGCCAAGTCAAAGCAGCCAATGCCAAGCAATGCTAAGCAACGCGAGGCAATGCAAAGAAACGCGAAGCAACGCAATGCAAAGCAGGCAACGTCAGGCATTGGCAAGCAATGACCACCACTAGCAAGCAATGCCAAGCCATGCCAAGCAATGCCAAGCAATGCAAAGAAATGCAATGCCAAACAAATAATGCCAAACCATGGAAGCGCTCCCCTACTTGGGGTCGCGCCGGATTCATTCACCCTCTCGCCTCCTTCGCGGCTAGCTCCCATCCTGATCGAATTGCTGTTTGGCAACGTAGATTCTGAACATCGAGGCCAGCTGAGGCAACCCATGCTTGTGATTATGATTCCGTGCTGGATGCATGGGAGCTGAGAAGACCCTCGTTGCCATATTCTTCGGGCGAGCAGACACAGAATCTTGGCTACGTGCCCGGTGCATTTACAGCCATGCCCACGAGATGCCGACCCTGACTGGTCTCCAGTCACCCACGAAGGCCCCCAGAGGCCCCCAGGAGCCAGAGAAGCATCCAAACACCGTACTCTGCGAGGGGTGATGGGCCTGTTTTCCACCACCACCATAAGTTGGAGGAGGAGGGGGTCCTCCTCCTCCTCCTCCTCCTCTTCTTCGTCCTCCTTCTCCTCGTCCTCCTCCTCCTTCCCCCCTCCAACTTATGGTGTTGGTGGTGGAAAACACGCCCATCAAGGGGCCTCTCTTCCTGTACAGACCTCGCCTCACTCTCTCTCTCGCTCTGCCACAGCTCCGTCTCCCCCATCGCTCCCGTCCCCCTCCCGCCGCCTCGCCTCGGCCTGGCGCGAGCCTGTCGTACGCAGCCTCCCTAACCTCCCTGACCTGTCTCCGCCGACCACCCCCCCCGCCCACGACCAGCAGCCTTCGGGGGAGCTGTGCTCCTCACCTCCCCCCTGGGGAAACCCACCGCATCGACAATCTCTCGAGATGGGGTGTCGAAGCCGAAGGGCAGCTACGTCCCAGTTGTGGCTGGCCTGCGACAACGAGGACGACGACGACGACGAGGACGAGGACGACGACGACGACGACCAGATAACGACAGCGGCCGAATTGTGCCCCGAATCTTTACGGGTCGGTGGGCCCCTCCCGAGGATCAATCTCATAAGCAGGTTCTCATCCTGGATCGACGTCCGACGGCCCCGGGGGGCCCGAAGCGGGCTTCATCCAGGGGCCGAAGTACCAGGGAAAGACCTCGACGAAGCTGCAGCCATCCTGAGGAACGCAGGGGGGAGGCAGAGCAGGGGCCTTCCTGGCCACGGCGAGGCCCCCGACCCAAATGGAAGCCACGGCCCCCAAACCAGCGCCCCTCCTCAGCTCGGAGGTGGCCCTCGTTTCAGCGCCTCGGCTGCAGAGCTCCCCAGCTGTGGGCCCGCCGGCCCCCGCGGTCCCGGCCTGTGCTCGGCTAGCCAGCGGCTGCCGTGCGCCACGCGGTAGGCGCGGGCGGCCGGCCGGTCCAGCACGTAGGTGGCGTCCTCGCCGTCTCGGCGGCTGCGGCGCTGGCGTTGACGCCGACGCCAACAACGACGGCGACGACGACGGCAGTGCAGACGGGGGCGACACCGACGACGACGAATAACACGCGCTGACGCTGACTCTGACGACGACGCTGACCCTGTTTCTGAC